GGAGAGGCAAGAGAAATGGTCCGCTGTATCACCATCACTCCGTATCCCGTATCCGTGATATCTGTACAGATTGCAGATTGCAGATTGCAGATTGCTCGCTGAAGCTACTCGTAGGCTGGGTGATCTGCAGAGCGTTGTCGGCAAGGTGCTGCATTATCCTCTACATCTCTGTCCGATCTGACCGACTTCTACTCGGTCATATGCTATCAGCAATACAGCAGTACAATGATACTCACCCGTATGAATGGAAGCTGTATGCATATGCATATCCCGCCGTGACTGACYCCCCCYCCCCCCCCCCCCCCCCCCCCTTGGAATGTACGAATTTCGGGAAGAGAGCCGTGCCTGGGTCTGCTCGCATACATCTCGCCCAACACCGCCGTTCGAGGGCGGGACACCTCCAGATCCCCTGTACGCAGGCCCCTGTAAGCTTCCAGCTACAGGGCATCCAGGTGCTGTGGCTGTCGCTGTGACATTCCTGGAGCCCTGACGGAGGCTGCTGAGATGGCAGCCGAGCATCAGGTCAGGTCTGACTCTAGTAATGACGATGATGATGATGATAACAGTAATAGCAAGGAGTTCAGGGCCCTCCCCAAATGCCAGTCGGTGAACGTGTTCCGTCACTGGATACCATTCACCGGGGAATGAGGCCAGCGCGCCGCGCAAACTGCCGTCTCCTTTCCATCGTGTGTATGTGTGTGTGTGTGTGTGTGTGTGCGCGCGTTTGGTGCCGTTCACCTGATGTGTAATGATTACTCTGCATGTATATAATATATATATATATATATATATATACACTCGTAGTTGTATCATCTAATAACTATTACACGTACAGATTACCCGCACTCGTATTACGATGGATGCAAATCAGCTGGGGACTTTGAGGCATGGGACCAGCCAAGGGTTGTTGGGATCGAATCTGCTCTGTGATGATTCTGTAGTAGTAGTAGTAGTAGTAGTATGGATGATGGATGATAGTAATAGTAGCAGTGGTAATCATCATAATCATATTACGGATAACTCTCCCCTACTCGTAGTATTGACAGCCATGTACAGCCACGCATCTATATGCACGACTCTTGATCTTGCCTACTGGCTATCACTAGGGGGGGGGGATACATGGCCAAGCGTACCGGTTATGACGAGTCACCACCGTAACTCTCTGCATAGATTTCCGGCCCGAGATGTGAAAGGACGTCTTCATGGACAGACTCGTCATTGGCTGTGTTCGTCTTCATCTTCCTTCCGCGTCCTCATCGTCTCCTCTCATCCGACGCGTGGCTGTCGGGGTCTTTCTGCCGCTCCCACGTCAGATTGCTCTGTTGGCTCATCCGGTAGATGAGAAGAGGCGGCAGCGGCATCCGTCATGCAGGCATTCTTCTTCGTCTTCCTCTCCGTGATGCTGATGGCAACGCGTTACCAGGTGTAGGCTGTGATATTGATACTAGACGGTATGGGCATCTACCAAGCTCCGACATATCCTGTTCCGAATATCCTGTCCTGAAACCCCGGTCGATCGAAGAGGAGGAGAGACTGCGGCTCAGACGCGTCGCGACACGAGGCCGCCGCGACAGATGCATCCTACTTTCCCTCTTACTGTTCCCGGGGTGATGATACCGTGAATGGCCAGTCACCGAGGAACTGGATGGTATCTACCAACACGGCCCAGCCAACCTCTGCAGAGCAACCGAGCTAGCGTCGCAGGCTCACAACGTGAAGACCGCCCGTGCAGACATCACATGCATGTGACGGACACGTATCCTGGGACGTACACTGCCCACACACCCGTCACACAGCAGGGAGAGATGGGGTCGGCGGTAACGATGCCAAGGCCGAAGCCATGAGAGGAAGAGCTCCGGTGATCGCCCGCCTCTCACCTCTCGGCCCTCGATACATAATACCCTCGCTTCCCCCTTCTTACATGGCGAGCGATTCTCTCTATCCTGAGCATCACCAGCACCGTCCGAGACGTCAGCGGTTCAACGAGAGTGCATGGTGCATACCAGGAAGGAGAGGAAGCAAAGAAGCAGAGGAAGAAGAAAAGCTACCCATCAACACCACGAGAATCCGCACGCAATGCTCCCACCGCACCAACCACGTCAACCGTCTACCGAACAGGCGACGCGGGTGCCATCAGCACCATGAGCGACTTTTCCTGCCCGTGGCGAGCCGTCTGCACCGACGACAACATCTAGCTCCGATGGAGATCCAGTCGCAGCCGCTACACGACAGAGCCAACTCCGTGCTTCCGACGGGAATAGCTCGACGCCAGCACCAGCATGAGAATCGGGACGGATACGACGATGAGCTAGCCATGCACCTGCCCGACGACGAGCACCTGGAGGGCTGAGCCTGTCGCCTGAACCGGTCGCCTGAACCGCCCTCGACGACTCACGGCGGTCGAGCTAGTCTTCTCAGAGTCTTGTCTTGGGGAGGGGGGTCGATGGTCCGCAGATACATCCACGGATCATGGACCATCCGGACCACGGCTTCGATTCCCGGCAAGACTCGACCTCCTGAGGAGCATCAGCAGGCAGCTCCCGCCCTGCTTACGGGGCCACAGCCACCAAGCTACCGGGCCTGCCGCTGCGCAGAAGAAGAGGGAGCGGGGCCGATGCCAGGCAGGAGGGCTGACCATGTCCATGCTCGTACGAGCGATACAGACTACTTGTGAACGTATGAGCACAGATTCGGCCCCGGTCGCGTCGCCCTGGCCGCCGAAGCCAGGGGACCCAGCCACCCTTCCTGAAGATGGAAGGAGATGCGACGCTGAGGGCCTCGGCAGGCATGGAACCGAACGCGCATCAAGCTGATGGTTGTGCGTGTTGATCAACCGCTCATGATATACATGAGTACGGGTACCCTAGCAATAGACGGGACACGGCCACACAACCTTGTACCTCCCATACGAGCAAAAGGGGGAAAAAAGAAAAGAGAAGAAGAGAAGAAGAAAAAAGAAAGAACCAACATTCCTGATAATAGGCAGAAAGACAACCAACCATTCTGAGTCGGCCGATGTGGGACGATTTTTTTTTTTTAAAAAAAAAATTGCCCACTTGTCTGTTTAACCCTGATATTCATCTTCGCAAGCATCCGGCTGGCCCTCCAACGATGGGCCCTCGGACTCGTCACGGCTACTATCCATGCATATGACGATCACGGCATATCACAGCTGCGCCGGACACCGGCTATTCATATAAACACGCTCTTCGGATAGGACCATCATGTCCATATAGTATCACCTGCTACATGTACTATCGTACATGAAGAACTATGACACCGCGTGGGGCCTAGAGCCATGTAGGTCTTTACGTGTTTTGTCAGACCCAGCAGGGTGACGGACAAGAGGCAATTCTTCTTTCAGGAAGAGCTATTCTATACTCTAGTAGAAACAAAAAAAAAACCAGAAAAAAAACCTCATAGAAGCGTCTTCAGCCGCCTTCTTGAAGATGATCACTTGCCTCACGCCCCGACTCCCGTTGCTGTGGTCTTGAGACGGGGGATTCTTCATCCGACAGTTCCTTGTCCTTTTGCCTATGATGATGATTCGATGCATTCTTCCTGGAACCTCTAGGAAGCTCTGAGAGCCTCTTGGGAAAAAGAAAAAAAAAATCTCGTCCTAGGTCGAGTTTAGGGTTTAGGGTTACAGTTACATACATGCACATGGCCGACTTGCACGGTCAACCTGATCTCTTCACGCCTTCTCGTCCTCCCATATGAAACTTGTACGTTTTTTCCATACAAGAATAAGCCGTACATGGAGAGGATATCTATTGGGGGGGGAATAGAACAAGAAGAAGAGAGAAAAAAGATTACTTAGCGTTTGGTGTTCGGGGCGAGGATGAACCTTACGCGCGCGCGTTTCCTGAGAATATGCGGTGAGCTCGACTTGGGATGGAAGCGCTACTCTATCCCTTCTGCCCACGGCGTTTCGTCCAGACCTGGTTTCCGGAATGGTGTCCGCCTGAGGAGATGGCAATGCTGAAGACGGAGAGGCCGGGGGGTGCGGACGGCGTATGACCGGTCGGAACCGGCACAGGGCACAGCCGTCCCGGCGTGCTACGGCGAGACGGAGCACCGCGGCGCCCGGGCTCTCATCCTCTTCGACATGAAGGGGAGGGGAGGGGCCGCTGCCTCGCCACCTCGCCACGCCGGAGAGTGTATTGCATCGGCCCTGGACGAGGAGGATGTGGCGGGCCTGTTGCGGGGGATGTCTTTCGTCACTTGCCGGATCCGGCGTATCGCATGGTGGCAACGAAAGCTGGAGGACTTCTACATGGTGAGGAGCAAAGGCGTCGGATCTCGGATCTCTCGAGGCGACGGTACCGTCACCATCCTGGAATGTTGGGAGGATGGGAGTTCAGGTGAGCTTGACGCTGTACGTGATATATCCCATCCATGCACATCTATCCCCCATCCGTGCATTGCATACTATGAAATCCGCTTTTTTTTTTCGAAAGATAAGCCGAACTGTTATTTCCCCTCTGCTTGATAATCAACCGTACCGCGCGTATGAGAATAACGTGCGCTCCGATACATGTCCGATCCTGCAGGTCCTACTTGCATAGCATATGTATGTGGGGTTTTCTCCCCCCCCCCCCCCCTTCTCTCTCTCTCTCTCTCTTCTCTCAGTCTCTCTCACTTTTTGTTATATTTTTTTATTCTTCTTTTCCACTTATCCTTCTCCTTAGTTCTTTTCCTCTCTTCATCGGACAGGCTGAATAAACTTCAAAAGCCAAAAGAGTTTCTTGCAAGAAGAAAAGAAGAGAAACCTTCCTAGTCAGATCAAGACAAAGCGAATCCCGCACTAACAGAATAAATAATCAACATGCTTGGTTGACTCGGCGGGGTTTCGGAATTAACAAGAGGGAAAAAAGGAATAAAAGAAAAGAAAAAGAGAAAAAGAGAATTATAAATCCAACTTTCGTTCCGCTCTCTGATATCCAATTCCTGTGATGATACCATATCAACCGATACCCCCGCCACCCCCACCTTGCGTCATCTCACAACGTATCTGTCTATACTCGCTACAAATCTGTCTAATCTTTTTTTGGGGAGGTTTTTTTTTTTTTTTTTCTTCAGGTTTCCATTCATGATTTTTTCTTCCTTCTCTCTATTCCTCCTTGCATCCTCAACATTGTCTCGATATCAATGACTGTTCAGAAAAAGTCCGTGGCTTCTGGGCCAGAAAAGGGTGAGTCCATCCATCCCCAAGTCTTATTAGCCGTGAATGATATAGAGAGGAGAAGAAGAAGAACGGGGAACAAACAGGCTGGCTTGACTTGACTGACTGATATCGAAAGTCTGGGCCTCTCTGCTCACAAACATCAACTACCTGCCGGGAATCCTGACCCTGCACGACTCCCTCCAGCGCGCCGGCACCGCATATCCCTTCATAGCACTGACGTCGCCCTCGCTGCCGCGCGAAGCCCACGCCGCCCTCGCCTCTCGCGGCATCCGCACCCTCCCGGTCCCTCACCTGGCGCCGACCCGCACCCACGACTACGGTAACGATGCCCGCTTCGTCGACTCGTGGACCAAGCTCGCCGTCTTCGGCCTCACGCAGTTCCGCCGCGTCACCCTGCTGGACTGCGACATGCTCATCCGCCCCGGCGGCTGCGGTATAGACCGCCTCATGAACACCCCCCTGCCGGGCGACATGGTCTTCGCCGCCTCCCCGGCCTGCACCTGCAACCCCTACGGGAAACCTCACTACCCGCCCTCCTGGGTCCCCGCCAACTGCGCCTACACCCCGCAGCACGCCCGCCCGGACGCGGCCCAGCGGCTCGCCCCCGGTCGCGGTCCCCTCGGCAGGCTCAACAGCGGCACCGTCGTGCTCGAGCCGTCCGTCGCCGTCTACCGTGAGATCCTCGCCATGCTCGAGAGGGAGGAGACGGCCCGCATGACCTTTCCCGACCAGGACCTCCTGGCTGACCTCTACCCCGACAGGTGGGTCGTGCTGCCGTACGTCTTCAACGCCCTCAAGTCCATGCGCCGCGAGGGCGTGCACCGCCATATCTGGCGCGACGACGAGGTCCGCATCGTCCACTACATCCTCAGCCCCAAACCCTGGGACGAGATGGACGCCCACGGCAGGTGGACCGGTGAAGACGAGACGCACAAGTGGTGGGTTGATGCTACGCTCAAGAGGAGGGCCGACGAGAGGGTCAGGGGCATCTATGATGGGTACTGACGTCTCCTCTTCTCCTTCCTCTTCTCATTGTCGACTTCTTCCTCCCGTTCTTTTGGCTGCCAGATCAAGTTGGGAATCTTTTCTTCTTCTTCTTCCCCCCCCCCCCCCCCCCCATTTCCAGCTTCTGTTCTTTTTCTATTCTGTTCCCATGCCGACTCATGTCCTCTCACATGCCAGCTCATCATTCATGTCAGTACGTTTCGAACCCATCATTAGATAACAAGTCTACTCAGGGTAGGAGTTAGTAAGATAGGTATTAATCAGGTCTGCCGAGTATTGATAGTAAGTAGTAGTAAAATTTTATGCCATGTAGTAATAGTAAAAGGTATTAGTAATATAAATTGTATATATCAACATCCTCGTCGTCTCGCTCGTGCCGACTTCGACACCGTTCTTGTCGGAATAGACAAGAACATCTCCGATGAGATCAGAATGGCAGCTATTCTGTCAAGAAGGAAAAAAAACGAGTCTACTCGAGATAGGCGGGTAGTGAGACAAGTGACGAGGTCTGCCGAGTAGTAGCGAGATAGGATCTGTGTTGTAGAAGTCGAGGAAACCAGTGGTAAGTGTATGTATATCGATCGTTGTCCCCTTCGTTTTTCGATGGAATCCGTGGTCGGTAACTATTCTTCTAGCTTTTCTGATTCCTCCTACCTCACTCTCGTGTAGTCTTTTGATAGGCCCCTGCACCCGTCGAATAGCATATATATAATATACACGGATACATCAACACTCACATACATTATGCCCTTGAAAAGGGGAGGGGGAGGTAAGAATTATCAATCAAGCATCGTCGTACAGTATCATTCAGTAACAATCTAATGCGTATGCCAGTATGCGCCCGCTACATAAGAAACAAGAGGAATGGGGTAGAAGAAGAGGAAGGAAAAAGAGGGCCGGTCCGTACTCCAAGTGCATCCTGACTTGTAACAGCATCTCCTGCGTTTCAAAGGAGAGAACAGATGGACAAAAAGATGAAAAATAAAAGAGCGGGAAAAAAATGGAGAGCAAAACACCGTGTCGTCAAACACTTTCCTCTACAATCCAATGGGATTGATCGCCTTCCTTCTTTTCCTTATCGCTTAGATATAAAAATGGCAATATGCACGCTTCTGGATATCTGAAAATTGAACCTTGGTGAGGTCGTCTTGGGTCGTCTTGAGTCGTAAAGGGGTTTCTAGTGTTTTTTGTATTTCTGCCATGTCTGGGACTCCAAGTTGAATGGAGAGGTGAAGCAAGACGGTGCTAAGAACCGAGAAGCCGGTGAAGGGGGGGGGGGTGGTGGTGGTGGTGTAGAGGAGGGGAAGTAGAGGAGGGTAGAATAGGAGATAGGGAAGATGGTGAAGAGGAGCCATAAAGGAGAGAGAGGAGGGAAAGATAGTTGAAGAAGAAGAAGAAGAAAAAAGAAGAAGAAAGGGCAAAACAAAACCAACCTCGTCAACCCTCCGTCTATGTTGCGGGTCGATGGCACTCGTCACCCCCATGAGCGTCTGCCCAACCACCTTGGTCACTCCCACAGCCGGCCTGAACACAATCGTAGGCGCCCTCTTCCATACGGCCTTGGCCGCCCCGCCAGGCGACCGGCTCTGCATCACCTCCCCGGGCACGGCGATTATGGCGTCCCTGGCGAGGTTGACGTCCCGAGTGAGCGACCGATATCCGCCGCGCAGACCCTGCAGGACGCTGGGCGGCGGGTCGGCGTACAGCGAGATCTGCTTGCGCTCCTCCGGCTCCCAGTCTTCCTCTGCGTCGCTGCCGTCCCACCCGCCGACGTCCACGGCCTGATCCTGCCGTCGGCCGTTCTCGGTGAGCATCTCCTCCGCACCCTGCAGGGCGTACTGGGTACCCACGGCCAGCTTGGCGCCCAGCTTGACAATCTCGGTTCCCGTCGTGCGTGCGAAAGCCGCCGCTCCCTTAGAGATGCTGCGCACCACCCTGCCATCCTTGTGGTACTCGCGAATCGGAATCTCGACAAGATCCTTGATGCCGCTGCCGATGGTGACGAGGGAGCGGACGGGCGCGAGACCCGCAATCACACCAGGCAGCTGGTTACGGGTCACGTCCGGCGTCCAGAGGTCGTTGAGCGTCTTGCCGAGCCGGTCGAAGCCCGAGATGCCGTAGATGATGGCGTGTCGGAGGACCATGTTGGCATTCTCCAGCACGATGAAGTTCATGAATTCCGACGTGTGACCCGATCGCAGGCCCGCGTAGTCGACCCGCTTCGGCTTGAAGTCGAGCTTGACAGGCACGCTCATCACCTCGGCCCTTTGTATGAACGGCACATCGCTGGGTGACGAGTGCACCGGCACGCTGCCGTCCTTGAACTCGAAGAAGCGCGTGATGAAGTCGAGAGCGTCCTGGTCCACGTGGAGTCGCACCGGCAGCAACGTGGTGCGGAGCACAATCTCCGACACGGGGAGATCCGAGAGCGGCCTGACGTTGAGCATCTCCAGATGCAGCATGGGCGCACCCATCTCCCGCTCCCCCGCATCCCGGTCGTACGTCGCAAACTTCTTCCACGTAGAGCTGGGCACGTGGTCAAAGACGTCGACGTTCTGGACGCGCACGTCCAGGCTGCTCTCTGTGTTGTCCGCACCCGGAGCATACGCAAACAGGTCGGCATTGATGCCCTGGAGCTCAAAGGTGATCTTGTGGTGCCTGCTCCTGTTGAGCTTGAGGCGCTTCGACTTCTGGTGTGCCCGTCCCGCTCGGGTTGCGGTGACACCCGTAAAGGCCGTCGTCGCCACCGACTCCGTCTCGGTCGCATTGTCATTGAGGTTGTCGTTGATGGCCCGCGACAGCTCACGCGGGTCCCGGTTCGCCGGAACGCCGATGTAGATGGAGTTGAACAGGAAGTCTCCAATCGCCTCCTCATCTTCGAGCTCCTCCTCGTAGACGTTGGACGACCCCTCGGCACGTGCCTGGCGCTCGAGCGCCTTGTGCTCGATATCGTGCACCGCCTTGCCAATAACGTCGCGTGTCTGCACCCAGTCGTAGCCGTCGAAGAGGTTCCAGATGAAGTGCGTGTCCCGTACGGTCACCTTGAGAGGGCTGCGCCTGACAAGCTTCTCGGGTGCTCGGTCGTACGTGTTCTTCTTGGAATTCCACGTCTTGGCTGTAGGGTGGCCACTGTCGGGGCTGCTCTCGGCAGCGAAGAAGCCCTCGTGTATCTCCAGGCCTCCACCATCGCTATCGTCGTCGGCGGTCACAGCGGCGTCGTTCAGCGAAGCCTGGGTGCCGGACAGGAGGACGCCTTCGTCGGTGTCCTGCATCGATGCCGTCCCGTCAGACGATATGCCCGATGACTTCATGGCGTCAAACATCTCTTCTCCGTCCACGCCATGCTCATTGTAGTACCTTGAGTCGACGCGCAAGGGGCTGTCGTTCCCGTATCCGATGTCTGAGCCACTCCCGGCCATCTCTTGGGCACCCGCAAAGTCCTGGTCAAAGTCGTACTCTCCTTCCGGCCTCCCAAAAGCCTCGGCCGAGATAGAGGCCAGAAGATCTTCCATCGGCATCACGTTCGTGCGGTACTTGATCTCCTTGCTCGGCGGCGTCGGGGGCTTCAATGCATTTGCCAAGGAGATGAGTGTCTGGGTAGAATCGGCACACGTCTCGAGGACCAGGAGATCATCGCGCACATCCACCTGAACCTGCTTCTCGCCGTCTGGGCCCGGGTCCACGCTGACGACCACTGTGGCGGATGATATGTAGCAGATGTCCACATACCCCTGGACGCGCAGGTCAGCCACCTGCTTCGACGCTATCGAGGCAGACCGTCGGTGGGACATGGCCCTCCTGTGGTCGGGAGGCACCAGCTGTCCCACGTCGTCGATCAGGAGAATGGAGGCCTTGTTGATAGCGAGAGTCGCCCTGAGCGCATCCTCCTTCGGAAGAACGACCTGGAGCCGGGATTCGGTCAGGGAGATGGTCATCTTGGATGTCCTGCCGAGCGGGTTGAGGCCGATCAGGCAGTCCCCAAACCCGACGTCCAGTGTCATAGGTTTCTTGGGCTTGGAGGAAGGGTCCGCTGGCTGCTGTCTGCTAGACTGCGCCAGCGTGGCTTGAGCCTGGTCACCAAGACTTGCCACCGAAGCTGCGAGGCCGGATTCAAAGTCTTGGGGCGTGGCATCGTCTCCTAGGCCGAGAAGGTCCATGATAAAAGGTACACGGTACTCGACGGCCACATGCTGTAGCTTCAGTTTGATGACCGGCTCGATGTCGTCGCCAATCATGCGCGCCATCATGACAGGGACCCGGGACGCACCCTGGCCCGAGAACTGCGCCGAAGACCTGACCAGCTCCTCCTCCCCGTTGCGATGCAGGGACAGCCCGCAAGCTGCCACGGCCAAGAGGGAGGGTACGGTGATGTGGGCAGCCTCCAGCTGGTCCAGGGCAAGGTCAAGCACGCCGATCCCGCCGCCGCAGTCCACCTGCGCCGTCGTCTTCTGTATCCTGGCCAGGGTCAGGAGACCGGGGCGGTCATCCTCGGGGAGGTACTTTGCCACCGTGGACAGCTTCGCGATATCGTCGCCAAATGCTGGCAGGATGGACAGCTGTGCGAGGTTCTTGACGCGTGTCGCGACGGCGTCGACTCCGACCCGCAGGACAGACCCCTTCCTCCTCTGCCTCAAGAGCGTGTCTACCATTATCTCGTCGTTGTCACCGTCGAATTTGGCACTGGACGGCGTGATGAGCTCGAGCAGCCGCTCGAGGTCGGCATCCTTCGGAGTCGTGTGGAAGTCCAGACGGATACCGCTGGCCTCGGTGGTGATGGCGGGGTCAGCCATGGAGTTCCGTATGTGCGGGCCCGACAGGCGAAGGAAGCTGATGGCGACGCCGAGGACTTCGTCTCTGCTGATAAGCTTGATGGCGCTCGACTCGGCAGACACGCTGCAGTCCTTTCCTCGAAGCTCTACGTATGAGCCTCCTAGTCGGAGGCTGATCTTGCTCTCCGAAGCTGCCGTCTTGTTGTTCGGTTCGACGGGAGCCTCGAAGCGCACGCCACGCGGCTTCGGCTTGGCTGGAGAGCTCTGTTTCACGGTGGAGGAGTGCACAGACGCCATGGATGTGCTCATATTGAGGAAACTGCTGAGGCCGCCGAACCAACCAAACGTCTCATCGAGCCTCTGCAAGTCAATCTGGATGGCAATGGGTAGGGTCTCGACGTCAATGCGAACATCACCGTTTGATTGCACCATGTTGATTGCCACGTCGTGTCCCGAGGAGAGAAAGGTGTCACGAACGGACGTGCTCATCGGCCGTGCTTTGTCAAACGAAATGATGTCATCATTGGCGTGGCCGAAGCGGAACTTTTCAAGCTCGAGCTTGATGGTAGGCACCACGTCCTGACTCGACGATTTGGCCTCACGCGTCTTGGAGGCCGGACTGGGATATGATACGGAAGCCGTCAAGTTCTGCAGGGTGGCATTGAGCAGCACATCGTTGTCGAAATTGAACACGCTGGGGCCCATGTAGCGTTCGATAGTATCAGCAACACCGCCTAGTTGGTTGACAAAGTCGATGGATATCTCCTGCAGATTCAGCTTGAGCTCAGGGGGCGGGGCGGAGGGCGCTGCAGTCGGGACCTTCGGTGCCTGCGGACCAGACTCAGCCGTGGGGTCAGGCTTGGGTTTGACTGCCTCGCTCAACCTTCCCGTGATGACGGCAAGTAGGAAGCCGAGCGAGGCATCAAAGCGGATAGATATCGGGGACAGATCAACCTCCAGGGCGTTGTCCGCGTCATCATCGGCCGGCGGCTGATAGGTGGAAGCCGGACGATGCCGGGTATCCCTGGGGGCGGAACCGTGAATCGAAAAGGCTCCAGGCGCCTGCGGGTAGGCAGACCGGTCGAGGTTGGCGACGGACTCTGCTGAAGAGGTCTCCGCATGAACATGATGATGGTGCGTGGGTACGTAGATGGAGATATTGTCCAAAGACAGGAATTCTTTGACCAGCCTGGCCGGGCCTTTGGGCGTGGCCGCGTCATCTAGTTCGATGCCCTTTAGCGACTCTTCGTCGTTCGGCCGGTCGCCGACAGGCTCCGGTGAGATGGTCCTATCCTCGACGGTCGCAGGCTTAGGCGTCGGTGAAGCCACCGGCCCGTCCTCGACAACAGACTCTTCGCCCCAACCGCCAGGCATCACGCTCCGCGGTGCGTCGTCAGGCGGCCCCGGGGGGGTGGTGGTCGGCTGCGCTATGTCTATGAGCGAAGCAGGGCGCTGGAGCTCTGGGGAGCGTGGGTGTTCTCCGGAGCTACCTGACGAGAATGCGCTCAGGTACATGCTCTCGGCTTCTTCATGAGTGTAGAGATGAGAACGAGTCAGATCGTCCTCGTTGGAGCTGTCGCTGGCATCGTCGAATGCGGTGGCGTTAGCGGCAGGAGAAGCGGGCTCATCATCTCGGGCTCCTGCCAGGGTCGCACCGGACTCTCGGGAGCCCGAGAGACGCGCACCTTCGGACTGCTCAGAGGCCGACCCTGACTGGGCACTAGCCCACAAGGGAGGGTGAGTATCAAGGAGCGCAGAGTCAGCGACAGCCATGGTGGAATGGAACATGGACGCCTCCGGGGACGCATCAAACCCATGGTAGATGGATGCGCGGGGCGTGGGAGGTCCGTCGTCGTCATGCAGGTCGCCTTCGGACATGTCATCGTACGGGATGCCCAGGGCTTCTTCGCTGTCCTCTAGTGAACCTTCGGATCCCGAGGAGGCGTCGTCGTCTTCGCGGCCGTCGTCGAGAGGCAGGGTCCCCACCGACCCCTGGGGTGCGGAGGGAAGGGTGCCCGAAGGCTGCAGAGGGCTGACCTGTTCGACACCGGAGCCTTCCCTCGTGGGCGGGTTCCTGGTCATGGCGGGGGACGAGGCGAGCGAGGGCGACGCCGTGGAGGGGGACCGTGCCAGTGCCGATAAGACGCTGGCTTCCAACACCAGATAAGCACGGACATTCTTGAGGGAGATGTGGCGTTTTCCCTCCTTGGGAACGATGGCAGGGGATGCAGCATCCTGGGTGGTGACGCCCTGGACGTCGATGCGCTCGAGGGAGACCTGGAAGGACACCGGTTCGGGGTTAGATGAGGCCGGGTCAACGGGGACGTTGGCCTCGAGCTGGAATGTGACGCTGCAGATGTTGATCTGGGTGCGATCCACGACGCCCTGGAGGAAGTCGGCGAGGAAGGATGGTAGTGACAAGGGCTGTCCCGTCCCCAGAGGCTCGTCCTCGACGCTCCCATCATCGCTCATAGATACCGAGGCGCCGAGGTCCTGGGTCTCAGCCACCAGGGCATCTTCCAGCTGCTTCCGTTCCGACGAAGGTTGTGAGTCGAGGAACGACTGGGCCAGGTCGACCGTATTGGGGACGATATCGTGACGGTGGGGGGCTTGCGTTCCCGGATCCCCCGTCGTGGCGGCGGGTTTCCGCTCGGTGTCGAGGACTTGGAGCCTGACGTCGACGCCGTCGACGTCGATGATGATGGGGCTCGTGTAGATGTCGACGGGGACGGTGATGCGTAGCAGGATCACCTTGGCTCGTCGGAGTCGGAGGGTCGGGGGCAGCTTCAGCAGCTTCTCGAGTTTCTGTGTTGCCGTGTCAGCCAGTCAAGACTACTACCAAAATAGATGAAGAGGTGGGGTTCGGGGTCAGGTCAGGTCAGGTCAGGTCAGGTCCCAACTTGGGCCCCGAGAGATCGGTCAACCCACCTTGAGCTTGACGCCGACGTCACGGAATTCGAAGACACTATTCCTCCCGATGGCCAAGTCCAGGTTATCCATGTCCAGGGCGTCCGCATCGAGCAGGTCCAGCCTGGCCAGGGCATAGCGGAGCAGCCTCTTGGGCATCGAGGAGCTCCGAAATGACCGGAATAGGGTGGCCATGGTGGCTGCTTGCCGCGGAAGGCAGGGTAGCCTCTTCCTGTCTCCTCTTCCGTCTTTCTGTCCCTCTTGTCTGGTGATTCGCCAGATGATGCGAGCTGGGTGATGAAGCCCCTGGTAGGGACGATGGCAGCAGTTTGTTGATCAGCCGTGTCCGTAGGGCCCCGAAGGCGGCGGCTGTCGTCACGAGACAAGAGAGAGATGGTTGTCGCCGGCCTAGAAAGTAAGACTGCCTTGCCTGCCTTATTGATGTAGCGGCGGCCAGATGCGGGGGCACGCAATCATGATTCGGGCAGCACGAGCGGTGTCAAGTGGGGGGAGGGGGGGGGCGCGGGAGAGAGAGAGAGACAGCGAGCGACGAGGCTGAGGGTCCAGCTGGTAAAGAGATGAAAACAATAATAGTGATTAGAGGAGACAGAATAATGCCTCGTTTTCTTCTTTTTTTCTCTTTCCACACTCTGTCTTGCAGTGTGGATATGGAAGTGGTGAAAGTCTATCTTGCGTTGTACCTCTCAGTACGGGAGAGCCTTTCGTCGGTCGCGTGTGTGGGGGAGATGGAGAGAAGGCGGATTTACAGTACGTAGTGATAATAATAATAGTCTGCAGACCGTGTAGTAGTAATAAGAATACGACCAGGCTGCATGCATCATTACAAGTATTAATAACAATGGGGGAGAGTCATGGATCCATCGCCCGGGGCCGTCACGAGTCCAGAGCTGCGGCCTGCCTAGAGCGCGTGACAGACTCCACTCCGGGGGTCTATAATATTAGCGGTGGCTTGCCCGTCTACAGCAGAGTGCCCAGGGCTGCGCAGGCTGCTTTCAGCGTTCCGTTGGCGTCCATAAGGCCACACCCAGGTTCATACGAGTAGGTGCATGCCATGTTGTCGACGATGGAAAGTCTGCACCCACTGTCATCCGTGGTGTTTTCACTTGGAAGGGTCGAACATTTGAGGGGAATCAAGAGGCAAGCGTGAGGCGTATGGGTAAACACCTCCTCCCCACTTACGATTGAGCCCAGCGCAGAGAGGTCGGTGGGTGGTAGTGACGGGAGTGTATTCGACAACTGCACGCTCTGCGTCGGTCATGGTGAGCGGATATAAGAGTTAAACTAGATGCTGGGACTAGATGCTACGGTATAAAGTGTGGGTGCGAAGAAGGAAAAGACTGTATATGTACGATGAATATGGTAGGGAGGCTCCGAGCATTACTCGTACATGTATAGGCGCGGAGTGCACGTCCCGTCTCTACGGCTCCGACGACGTCGCAGAATACATCTCCGCTATCCTCTTTCCCACCGACTCACCGCTCCAATATGCTCCCGTCGCAGTCGCAAGTGCGACAAACGGTGCCGTATGCTCCCCCGCCAGCCACAGCCCCTTCTCGGGAATACCGTACCGCATCGTCTCGATGTCTTCATCCGCCTCCGTGAGGCCTACCTGGAAATTGCTGTAGCTCCCATGGCCAGCCAGCTCATCGCTCAGCCAATTCGTTGCCAGGAAGCTGATTGGCTGGCAGCGCGGTTCCCCCTCGACATAGCCAGGTAGCCGGGTGTAGTACGGTTCGAAAAAGTCGGCGAGGAATCGTCTCTTTTCGGCCTCATCCTTGTCCGAGAGCTTGGAGGTGATGTAGGCTGACTGATCACCGTAGGTGTAGAAAAGTATCGTCGAGTGCGAAGTCTCGGGACCCAGGTTGGCCAACTCGACCGCCTCTTGGTTCCACCGATACGGGTTCGTATCGGGGGCGTAGTTGGGGGACAGCCATTGAATGAAGCCCTTCACCTTGGCTTCCGTATCGTTCTTTGGGTGCCAAAATGCCTCTGGAAAGGTTATATAGACCTGCTCGATATTACCGGCTGTCGCAAAGTAAAACACGGGCGCGAGAAACGGGGGGGAAAAAAACGGAAGAAAAAAAAAAAAGAGAAGAAGAAGACACACTCACCTTCTCGAGGCTGCCGTATCCGATGGAGTTGATGGCCTGGATCAAGCGCGCAGGTAGAGCGGGCTCAAATGCATCCAGGTGCTGTTTTAGCCAGCCAAGGGGCGATGTGACGACAACGTGATCAAACTCGAGGCGTCGGCCATCGCTCGTGTCAATCTTGACGCGGTCTTGCGGGTCGGTTCGGTACGTGATCTTGTCGGCCACTGTGCCTAATATCATGTCGGCTCCCGACAGCGCTGGCTTGGCAACGTGTTCGAGTACCTTTCTGTATGTCCCCGCGCAGAACAGATTCTCTTTTGTGCCTCGGTCAGTAGCGTCCCGACTCCCCTTGCCAAGATGGACACGAGGAACGCCTACCTCCTTCGATGCACTCCTCCAGCCATAGAAACCTGAGACTCTGCTTGGTAACGTGGGTACCGATATATGCGCTCCAGGCTTCGGACAGGTGCATAACAATCTGCCGTTTTCTCCGCCAATCTTCCTCTGTCTCGGGGACCTTGGTGACGACCCTTTCGAGGAAGAAGTCATACAGGCTTTCCTCCGAGCCTATATCATCCGATTTCTCTTCTGCGTGCTTGAATGCGTCCCCGATAATTTCCCACATGATGGTCGAATACGCCTCGCCCTTCTCGAGGGCCAAGAGACGCCCGGTGTCGTCAAAGACATTTGTATTGTCATCGCACAATCCAGTCTCGACACCTGTCTTCTTGGCGAGGTCAAGCATAGGATTGTCCTCGGTCCCGTGTATCCAGTTAGGTCCCATGTCCACCCAGTGTCCGTTGGGCAGCTTCTCCTGATGCATACGACCGCCGACACGATCGCGACCCTCGACTACGGTGACCTCGAAGCCCTTCTGCAGCAGAATGTCTGCGCAGCGAAGGCCGGCAAGGCCAGCGCCGACTATGCCTATGTGGGCTCGGCGGCTGTTTACCTGCGCAATCTCGGGTGACGACATGGTGCCCGGCTCCTCAATATCGTGAGACTGGGTTGGCCGTAGGTCCCGATAGATTCTTGACGAGCTGCGATTGGACGGACTGGTATGGCATGGAGAGTAAGCATTCGTTATATACGACTAGAGGGGCTGGTAATACAAGATCCTTCTCATCTAGCCGCGTGCGGGGATACACGTGCTGGATATGGAGAATGGTGAAGGCAAAACGGTCGATGTCGAGAGCAAGCTGCAAAGTGTCTCTGGGACGACGACTCGAAGCAATTTCTGCTCTTGATGCGAAGCCAACAAGGCGAGGATGAGCATCTACGGCGATAGCAAACGATTTTGTCGGCGTCGATCACCAACGGAAGGAACGGGCAGAAAGGAGAGGAAGGAGGAAGGTACGCCACACGATGCGCGTACGGTAGGCGCGGAGGGGAGGGGAGCAAGAGATGAGTGACGGATTGTCGCCTGAAAACAGCAAGGTCGAGGAGATGAATTCCTTACCTCTCTGTCTCTGACACGCGGTGATCGTGAGCAAAGATTCCCGCGAGTGTTTGGATCCTGGTCGCACCTAAAGGTTTGTCAGCCGATGGCTTAGCGGTAACAGATGGATGTTTACGGGGCAGAGATATCGGTAATACGGCGGGCGTGTGGTTGGCAGGAGGAGCGGAAAACTCCCAGCTTGATGTTGACGGCCCACCACGTCACCTATCATCCTTTCCGGTTGAACCACTGGGCCTGAACAGTGAGTCGTCAACCGGAGAATGACTGTCTTTTCTTTCTTCTCTGCTGCTTGTTCACCCTGACGATGATCTATTCACGACCCGTCGTGGACAAGGCAGAGCTACCCGGGAGGAGTGTATTGGTCTTTTACGCCCTTGAGAGCGTGATTCTTTGGCGGGATGTCGTGTATATCGTTGCAAGGGCATCCGCTCTATTCTCTGGAGTGATACCGGAACCATTTGGTTTCCATCTTCCACGACATCTCAACTTGAAGATGTTGATGGGGTGGTATCGCAAACTACTGCGGCACGCGTTTGTTTTGTTAACGAAGAAAGCCTGCATATGGAAATGATATTTCAGAGGTGGATCACATTGAGAATATTACTGACCAAAACAAAAAGAGGAGAAAAGAAGATAAGAGGGGTCGTATGACTTTTCTCTTTACAGGTCATGGCTTATACTCGCTCATCACAGGCTCCCTACGATCCCTCATCCAATTTCAGGAGTGATGAACCAGCCATGTACCGTGAGTATCTTTACCATCTACCTCACCGTCTTCAACTAAATCGTCGACATATATGGACGGTTTGCGCCGTCCGCTCGAGTTGCCCGTAGCATGTGTCGCGACTTGCCGGCGGGGGTATTCCCCCCCCCCCCCCCCCCAATCGAGCACATCGTGCTTTGGCAGCCTCACGCATAAAGGTGCCGGGAATATGCTGGTTGGGTGGTCTCGGCCTGGTGCTGACCGTCACTTTGTAAATTTGGTCATTCTACAGTTGAAGGATGCACAATAGTCTGTTTACTTGTGTTGTAACGAATAATAGGCATGTAGGGCTCCAATCAATCAAAGAGTCAGTTCATAGAGAAAAAAAAAAGAAGGAATAGGGACTGCTATCGTGTTCTGGGAAATATGTATACATCGATATCGATATACCAGGGCGCGATATTGTAGATGTACAACAGTGGGAGGGACAGGGGGGGATATCATATGTTAGTATTATTACACCTAATACCTAGGTATTATGCATCTTTTCTTTGGCTCATGACTCTTGCTTGGCAATGCTCACCGAAAGACATTGAATCTACGGACCACGACACAGGGTCTTTTTTTTTAGAAAAAGAAAAAGAAAAAAAAAGAGAGAGAGAGCAGGGATACGTCATCGTATGACGCAAGTATCAGCGAATACCAGAATTAGGGAGGACGAATAATCCTATGACTTGTCATACAGAAACCGCCAAGGGCTGAGGAGTAGAGGGGGGCCATGATGGCAACCTTGACGAGAGGGAAAGAAAAGAAAGGAAGCAAGACGTGGATGGAGTAAAAAACACCAGAAGCGCCCTTGAAGAGGTCAGCGCACCACGATCCCTGCCTGATGTCCGTCATCAATAAAGCGTCAATGACCAATCCCGACCCGAACCAAGCCAGCCAAGCAAGCAGTGGAGTCCGTACTAGCCGATCTCACGAAGTGGCATTCTGGTCTAGTACGTGTCTAGACTCGACTTCTCGATCTTCTATGCGCCGTCCTTGAGGGCCCATGACACGCCAGACCCGCATATTCCCTCTTTTTCTTCTTCTTCTCTTCTCTCCCCACTTTCGATGACATAGAGCTTTGATCTGCTGTCGTCTGAGCTACACGATTTGCTCCAATATGTCTGGTCCAAGTTTGACGATCAAGGGATGCCATTCTTTCTCCCTCTTCTTCTTCCTTTCCCCCCCCCCCCTTCCTCCTCTCCTTTCCCCTCTCTCCTCTTCAGCAATGACGAGCTACGGGGTAGACCAAAGGCCGAGGCTGTACTGGGGTGAGAGGAGGTGACTTGGCCGTGCATCTGTCCGCGTTTCTCTCAACTGAACAAAAAGTGAGCTGGGTCCTCCGCTGTCTTGTTCTCTGTGTGCATATTTATACAAACCATAACCCCCCCCCCCTGCTCTCTCCCATTCTTTCCAGTTTGTTTCTCTATCATCGAATGCGAGGCGCTTTTCATTCTTCATTCTTCATTTTTGTTTTTCATCTTGGTTCATATTTCATCCCATCCCTCATTCTGCTCTGCTCCATACAATGACCACATATACCCGCGACCAAGTTCGCACACACAAAACGGACGATTCAACATGGTGCATCATAGACAGCATAGTGTACGACCTGACGGACTTCCTGGACGCACACCCCGGAGGCGAGGCCGTTCTGCGACAGGTGGCGGGCCAGGACGCCACCGACGCCTTCTACAACCTCCACCGGCACGAGGTTCTGGACCGGTACGCCTCCCTGGCCGTGGGCAGCGTCGCAGGCGAGGCACGGCAGGTGGTTGTGCGGCAGCCCGGCGAGACCAGCCCGGTGCCGTATTCGGAGCCCCTCTGGCTCACCCGCCCCTTCCGGTCGCCCTACTACGACGAGAGCCACGCGCGGCTGCAGCGGGCGGCCCGCGACTTCACCGACCGCCACCTCCTGCCCGAGGCGGACGAGTGCGAGCTCACGGGGCGGTACATGAGCGATGAGATGGTGCGGCGCATGGAGCGTAACGGCATCCTGCGCATGCGCCTCGGACCGGGTCCCCACCTCCACGGGCGCGACCTCTTTGACGGGGCCGTCGACGGCCGCAGCTTCAATTACTTCCACATGCTCGTCCTGGCACAGGAGATGGCGCGCACCATGACCCGGGGCTTCCAGGACGGCAACATGGCCGGCATGACGATCGGGCTCACCGCCGTGCTCAACTGGATGCCCGATTCACCGCTGAAGACGGACGTGTGCGACAGCGTGTTCTCGGGCCGGAAGAAGATCTGTCTGGCCATAACGGAGGCATTCGCTGGCTCGGATGTCGCGGGGGTGCGTACCGCGGCCCAAAAGACGCCTGACGGGAAATTCTTTGTGAGTCCAGCTCTCTGTTCTCATTGGTGTGGCCGTTCTTTTCCTTCTTCTTCTTTCGGATCTTACCGTGGATGGGGGAGCAGTCATCAGGTGGATCTGCAGTATGGGTCTTGCATAAGAAGAAAAAAAAGAATAGATGATGAAAAAAAAAGGTAGTATTAATAACTGACAGGCCATCTATCGTAGATTGTTAATGGAACAAAGAAGTGGATCACCAATGGCACCTTTAGCGACTTCTTCGTCACCCTGGTCCGCACCGGGCAGGCAAACGATGCCTTTACCGTTCTGCTGATCCCCCGCTCCGAGGGCGTCGAGACGAAGCCCATCCGAACGTCGTATTCGGCCTCGGCAGGCACTGCCTTTGTCACGTACGACAATGTCAGGGTGCCGGTGGAGAATGTCGTCGGCCAAGAGAACAGCGGGCTTCGAGTCATCTTTTCCAATTTCAATCATGAGCGGTGGGCCATGGTCTGTAAGTCATCCCTCCGTTCTGCGTCTGCTGGCCTATCATCTCTCACCCATTCTATGATCATCTGGGGTTCCTTTCTCCTCTTTCTCTTCCTTCTTCTCCTTGTCTTCTTCTCTTTTTCCTTTTTCGTATGTACATCACCAACACATCATGCAGGCACCGTCACGTCCCAATGCCGGCTTGTCGTTGAAGAGTCTCTCAAATGGGCCAATCAGCGCGCCATGGCTGGAAAGCGTCTGATCGACCAACCAGTCGTCCGTCAAAAGTATGTCGCTCCTCCTCCTCCTCCTCCCTCTCACGGCCGTAGACGTGATGAGACGAGATTGACGCAGCAGAAACAAGACTTGCAAAGATGATTGCCCTGACAGAGGCCAATCAGGCCTGGCTCGAGACGATCACGCATCAGATGTGCATGATGCCCTACGCCGAGCAGGTCAAGCACCTCGCCGGACCCATCGGGCTCCTCAAGATGAGCGCCACCCGCGCTGCACACGAGGTTGCCGACGAGGCCGTGCAGATCTGGGGCGGGCGCGGCGTCACCCAGACGGGCATGGGTCGCAAGATAGAGGCCTTCCACCGGACCTACAAATTCGATGCCATCCTGGGCGGGGCCGAAGAAGTCGTCGCCGACCTGGGAGTGCGGCAGGCCGTCAAGAACTTCCCCAAGGCTAGGCTATAAAGATGGCGGAGAAGGACAGATGCTGAGATAGAAACCCCCCCACTGGGCTCGAGCCCCCCTTCCTTGGAAAAATATAACGTTGATCGGGTCATTCGAGTTCTATTAATTGTGTCGGCATTTATTTACGTGGCAGTGGATCGCATATGTGCGCAGCCTACTCGCAGTCAATGCGGAGGCGGAGACCTGACTTGTTAGGCCCGAGATGCTCGGATCTATGGTGGATATTAGCAAGGTCCAACATCTTGGGATGTATATTGACGTCCGGTTTCGGCGTATACTCCTGCGTATCTGGATGTTGATGTCGGCCTTGATGTGTCGAGACGTCCGATTGATCATGTTGTCTTTCGGAATCCGCGTGGTCCAAGACTGGACGGTAAACCCCGAATGGATGGGCTGTAATTGTGCGATGATGCGCTCTCCTCCCGATGCCAGTATTAGGTGTTGCTAACTGCAGTCACTGTCAAGCTGAGCGGCGGAATAATGTCGGTAAAATGCTCGTCTGAGGTTCCGGAACGGCAGGAAGTCTAAATAGGTAGTCATTCTCTACTATGATCATGTAAACAGGCTTTTAAATCAGGCTTTTTTCTAACCTTCTTATTGATGTATTGTATTATTACTATACAATCTGTATATATAAGGGAAATAGTGATTATATAGGTGTCTCGTCTTAATAGGAGGAACTCCAATCAGATCATGCCCCCCCACCTCTTCCCATGTTGATCCGACAGCCACACTCTTTTCGTCCCCTCCCCCCCCACACACATATATTACATTAGCTGGCTTTTTTAAATGCACACAACAACGATAATATTACTTATATCACAATACTACGTTGATTTGGGGCCCCGTAGCTTCTACGTCTTTTGTTTGTTGCCGTCATAGCGTCTTGTTATTCTACTACACACACTCCTTCCTTATTTTCCTTTCCTCTTAGATTGTATATATATATATATATAGATCGATAGATAGATGGATAGATAGATAGATGGATAGATAGATAGATGGATAGATAGATAGATGGATAGATAGATAGATGGATAGATAGATAGATAGATAGATAGTAGCTATACTGCGCTTATAACATCCTCGTCAGTTCATCTATTCTATTCCCTTCATTTTCATCCTTTTTGAATGTATACCTTCGAACACGTGCGCCGATTCCTCCTCTTCATCAAGTGACCGTAGAACCCTACCTGGTCAACTACACATCATCTTGGGTTACATCTGCACAGTCGAATACCGACGCCCGCAACCAGAACCCATTTGAATTGAACTTGTGCCGCGTTTCAGTTGCCTCCTTGCCGCTTACTTCTTCCACGCCCCTCCCCCCCCCCCTCTCCCTTCCTCCGTTTCAGCCTTGTTTTCGTTGGGTCTTCGGTACGGCCTTCGCTGGACTGTTCCGCCACCCAAAGACAGTGATGCTCCCCACAGATCACTTGGATCAAAAGCTGACCAACAATACCGGTTCTAAATTATCACACGAGCCTCAGGGCGCAAGTCCAGGCGCGGGACAAAGAGACAGAGAGGTTTGGATTGCGCATAGAACGGAGCTTCCTGACCGTATTTTGTGTGTTCTGAGTGGGGTTTGATGCCTTTCAATCACAAAAATGCCCGTCATCTTGTTACAAAAAAAAAGAAAGAAGAAGTGAAGAAGAGACAGGCAGACAGATTGACAGACAAAGAAACGAGACAGCTTCAACCCCTGGTTGTCGTATGCAGATAGTAATGAATAAATAAATAAAAATAACTAAAAGGAGATTTCGGGCTCTCATGACGTGCCACTCACGCTACGAGTATATTCTCTCCTCTCTCCAAGTAACCTTTCTTTTTTTTTTCTACCCAATGCCGACAACCTAGGAAGAAGCATGGTCTCGAATCCTCCGCCAAGTCCGTTACTTCGACAGTACATGTACAGACCTGTCTTGCACATCATCCTTGTCGTATGTCCCGGTATATCTGCAATGCCACCACGACAGATGCCCCCCTCGTGCGCCTATACTCGACCGTGATCAGGTAGCTGTGAGAATGAGTCACCTTTCGTCCCACGAAGGAATAAAGTAGACCTGTGACCTTCCCTGGCCATCACCACGAGGTCGTTCATCCTTGATACACTCCACCCACACTTGGGGAGGAGAAGCTGGCAGGACGTGGAGTGCCTAGGCCGCTTGCTTGAGCCCGTTTCCGCCCCGCGTAACAGCTCGTACGGCATATCCGGCATATAACAGTACTGTACCCAGCTGGTTATTTCCCCGCCGACCCGCTTAATCTCCACACTGGAGGCAAGACACTCTGAATATATCGGCGTGGGGATCCCAGACTCCGAATGGAGGGCCCCCCCACATATTTTCTCTTCCTCACATCTGGTTCCATACCACTACGATACCGGGCACGCAGGTACACACACCACCTGCCACCCTTCTTGCGTCGGGGGTTTTTTTTTTTCCTTTCTTTTTTCGACTCTTATTCTTGACGGTTCCAAATCACGATGCATCAAAGGCCGCTGTTCAGGATTCCGGACCCCCTGTCTCTGCCTTTCATTCCATCTTTTTATGATAAATCTTTTTCCGTCGCCGTCGCCTTCTCCTTGCCTCCTCTTGCGCTCTGTTGCTCTCGCCGCTAGCCGTGAGATTCCTGTTCGCCCAGCGTGTTCGGTAAACATCATGTGGCGGCAGACTTCGTAGCGTTTACGACCCCGCACTGTCCTCTCGAATATGACTCTCGGCCCTGCAGACGACAGGATTGCGTAGCATCTCACGCTGAGAGGTCACAGTACGGATACGGACAGAGATACTAGAGAGAAGCAGTCCTCGTGTCATGGGGGGACGGTATGGACGCCCCCCATGACCGAGAGACAGGGGACGGGAGAGCTGAAGACGGATGGCGATCAAGGTATCTGGAGACATCTCCTCAGACGACAGCTGCAAAACGGCAAGATTACCACACCAGAAGTGCACAGGTTCGCTCCCCTCCCCAACCAGAGGAAGCTGGGACCTGCATGTTACCTGCACACTTTTCCTGGCTCCTGTACAGTGCCGTAGACCATGTACTATTACTGTTCGGGAACACCGTGTGATTTCTCCCTGCCTTTTCATGCCGTGAATGTTTTGTTGCCTTGCTACTTGACCGAGGGCGGTCAGTTCTGCATAGAGTCCAGACAAAGAGTCTACATCGTACCACTCTGTACCACCCAAAAATTCACGGCAGTCGAGGGAAGGAGGGGGGGGGGGGGAGGCATGCCAACCCGCAGCTTCACAGAAGGGTACGGAGGAAGAAAGTGCGCACAGTGACACTAGAGGAAGAGGTAGAGTACGGCTCAAGTCTCGAAGCCAAAGGTAGGCCTGTATTCTGGCGCGGATTCCTCTGAGATGTAGAATACCTGGAAGCAGCTTCCCAAGTACGAGTGATCATGGGGTTACTCGTACCGTGACCGTATCTTCAATCTAAGTAAAATGACCTTGCAGTTTTCTTGTCGCGGCATCGAGCGTGTGGTAGGGAGCCTCCTCAGGCCCCAAGTCTGAGACAGACCCGAGTGCGACTCCCGGCCCGACAGCTAGCTTCTCTTCTCTTCTCTCTTTTCTCCTTTTTTCTCTTTCTCACATAACATCAATCTCAGCTTCGCACTAAAGAGCCCACAAGTTCAACAATGCCTTTCTTTTGGTTGTTTTCTTATTCGCTTCCCACTCCGGTCTACCCGCATCATCCTGTCAACAACCGTAGCCATACAACCATGGAGCCACCCACACGAAGCAACGGGAACAGTTTGCTGCCAAGGAAAACCGGTGGTTTGTATTTCTGTGTTTCCATGGCCCTGGTACTCCCACCATCTTCCTATCGATATCTTGTTTCTCTCTCTTTTTCGACATCTCTTTGCTAGAACGTTGCCCGACGTGACCTCTCTCCATCCGTCCCAGAACCCCAAGAGGGGAACACAGGGGCAAGGTAGAACGGCACCGACACCCATAATTCATCAGACTATCCCACTTCTAAGATTATCAAGGGGGACAACCTGTTCATTGGATGAAGCAGCCAGCTCTCTCTTAATTTTTCACGCAATCCGGGCATCTCCACCTCAAAATCGTTACACCGGGGCTTATTTCATGTTCCATCCCAAGGCAGTCCTTGCCAGTGCGCCGAGGCTCACAGCGTGAACTGAGGACCGGTTTTGAGGGGGCAAAGTGCCCACATGAGTACTTCGAGAGCGGGAACGTGATCACGCACATGGTCGTTATCTTGGTCGCCAGCCTGCAAGTATATGGAGTAAACAAGATGACGGTTAGCGAGGACACCACACCCAGAATTTGGGTACGCTAGCAGCTTCCGCAGGTTTCACACACATGGGACATGCCTTTGCTTGGAGATTGCCGGAGTAAATATAAGAGAATGCGGGAGTGTCTTGGAAGGTGGAACACGTCGCTATGTCTTTCATATCTGGAGAGGGAAGAGAGGGGAGGTAGGGGGGGTGGGGGGTGTTGTCTTATATAACGGCTTTCGGTTTCTTTCCTTTCTTTTTCCTTCTCTTCTGGGTCCCCAGGTATAACGTGCTGTATAGCCCAAAGGGAGACGAATTCGAGATTTTCGGGGGAACAGCTCTACTTACGGACCTCTTCTACTTTGGAGAGGGATGCTCTGACTCCCAGGTCCAACAGTAGACAAGTATACACGTCCGGTACCATACATCTCAGTTCACCACCTCTGCCGTCTGAAAACAAGATCACGTTCGAATATACGGTGACATATAACATTGCATATTCTGCGAACATACGCTATCACCTCTTCTCACCCCTCTTGCTCTGTCATTACACGCATCGTATCGTAACACGCGTGCTGTAATATCGTCCGCACATGGAACTCCCCTTCCCAATCCCCGCTCCCCTGATACAGGTATATGCACCGTGGGATTCGAAGTATTAGAATAATATACAAAGAAAACAATCAGAAGGGGCAGGCACAGATGACCGGATGTACCGGTACATGGTATGGTCGTACAGGCGATGATAGATGATACGTTGTCGCGAATATTCATATATACATGAGCCATTTTTTTGTGCATAGCTAGCTAGCTACATGGCTTGATGGTGTGACAAATTTGCACTTTTGCCCATGTCTTCTTCTTGTTGCCATCTTCTGGTCCCGGTTCTGTGTGTTTTGGCCATCGATTCACCAATAGACCGAGGGTATCTAGCGATTCCCCCACACCCCCCCCCCCCTGGCTACATGTACGAGTAGGGGAGTCGGCCAACTCTGTTGACTTATCGCTTGCCTCTCATTGAATGGAATGCAAGATTCTTAGCTTCCCGCGTGTTTTCGCAAGTTCCGGGCTTCAAAGGTAGTCTCTATCAAGTGTGGGTACGCAGGAGTACCCTTCTGTTCAAGCCACGGGTAGTGGTCAGCGGAGCCGAGCAGAATGCACGGCTGGGTTCTACTCTCGTTAAATCGCGAAGAAGAGATGACAGGTGACATCCATGTGCCGCCAGCGCACGGTCCTTCTCGCGGATGCCGGAGTGCATTGCCCCATCTCCAGCTTAGAGCTCGTTGTGCACCCCTAGCTCTTTTTTCTTCTCTCACTCAACCCCTTGTCTCCCCCACTCTCCTGCTGTGCCTCCCCCTTTGGATCGTTGGCGAGCAAGAGGGGTCGAACAAGGGCCGGGCCGGATCAGACACGTCATCTCTCGACATCCCTGTCTAAATTTGACAAGCATTGTTCTACGACACATCCGTCCAATCCAGTGGGAGGTGCAGACATGCATAGTGCAAGTGGGTAGCGATGGATGGGTGTAATACGGCCCGGGTCCTTGGTCTCGGGGACACTAGTACATTTGACCTGCCGCCCCACCACCAAGTATCACAAACGACTGACGACGACAAACCCCTATTACCATACGCATGGGTTTATTTTCTTCTTCCAACGCTCTGTGTGGGTGGGGGGATATGGGTCCTTGCCATCCCGTCATACTATCGGAAGGCGTTTTAGTGTTGACCTTGACAAGTGGTCAGTCGGCGGTGGCGTCTCCTCGTTCCAGTTGCTTGCAGCTCGAAAGCATTTTCCCGCTCATGCTTTTTCTTATACATAAAATCACTCATCTGCTCTTACGTCGTCGCTAACTCGTGTATGGCTACTCCAGTGAAGAAGACCTGTCAGTGGCAGCTGCTAGTCAGACCGGGTTTTCGATGAATATTATTAGCCATTGCCCCACCCGAGGGTGTCGAACAGCCCGGTGGGGTGAGACATATGCTGGCCAGTCCTGGGTCTGACTTAGCAGCAAGTGGTTGTCGATGGAGCGACATATCCAACTGATTCTTTATTACTGCCACACTTCTGTCCTGTTCTTCGGGTCTCGTTCGTAATTCGGTTGGGTTCATTGAGAGTGAAGACCGAATCGAAAGAGCCTGTCGACCGCTTCTGTGTGGAAGTCGTGTAATGTTTGGAGAAGAATGATCAAGACTAGGGGGGGGGGGGGGGGGGAGAAGGCATCTAATTCACATCTGCGGCGATGTATATATGTACGAGTGTACGAGCATGAAATAGAAGTGGAGGGAAGATGGGGATAGTGACGATAAGCTTGCCCTGTAATACGCCTAGATTCTTAGGTCACTTCTCGAGGCAGGAACAAACCAGAGAGCTGCGTCATCAGAAAACTTTTCCTTACCCTACAGCTATCACCGTGTGTTTCCTGCCAGCGACAACACACGATGACCCGTAGACTTGATTACAGTGTGGTCTCTACCTACTGGTACGTCCTATGTAGTAAGTATTTACCTTTGGTTGCCTGATTCATTATCAAGGAAGAAAACCTATCTATGAGGCTATTTACAGATGTGAGCGTGGCAACAGCCTCTGGCTGGTTAGTCATACAACCCTGGGTGCCACAACTACTATATTTTTTGTGCGGTTCTTAGCTCTACATCATGCCTGTGATATCCTCCTCAATACCATTCGGACCATCTTGAAACCAGCATGCGTTCACTCTGGTTAGACCGGAAACAATCGTCTTCCCATCTACAGCTTGATGCTACGCAACGTGAGAGGTAGCAAGTAGTAGGCAGTAGATCACGTTTTACGGTTCCGGTCGGTACCGTTGATCCGATTCATATATTCTCTCCAGAGGCGATGGCATGCAAAACAAACGAGAGACTACGGGCGCGAATAACATCAATGTCAAGGATTGAAGAAGCCTCTTGTGTGCGATTTGATTCACACATTAGTCTAGACGGAATTCCGACCGGGGCTAAAGGCCCTGTAGCAGAATGACTAAAAGTTACAGGTCCCTGAAAAAACTGTGTGCCCCACCCCCGCTTGTGGCTGAAGAGGTGAGGGTCGGTCCCCCTTTTTTGCAGGGAGAAAGACATGGGGTTGAATGCTGGTGACTGGGAAGCAATGTTGCTTTCCCGCATGTTGCGTGTAGTGACAGGTTCTTGCGGATGGCACAGAGAAGAAGGCGAGAAGATTTCTCTAACATCGTCACCGGACTCGATCATGCTAGGGCCCAATGTACCAAACAGCGTTTAGAATGCTCATAACCGGCCGCTTTTGAAGACGTTTGCTCCCCAACGGCCCCCGCCAAAACTATTGTCTGTTCTGGAGGGAAAAATCGAGAAAACCATCCAAGGACCGTGTTTCAGGCCTGCGATCAGTAATTCACTCTCGTGTTATCCGGAATCATAATACGCCGCCGGAAAAACATGTAGGCAGAATCACCTCTCGGAACATGACCAGGGAAGAAAGCTCCCTCGCCAGGTTTAGAATCATCAGGCGTTGGTGGGCTCTGAGGACCCCAAATATTGAATGCAGCTAGGTTGGGTGGGTGGCGCTAAGCCACAGTTTGCCCATGCTGTGCTTCCGGAAAAGAATCATTTCCGGGACCCACGTGACTTACACTTGGGGGCATCAACATGACCCCTTATCTCCTATGCAAGCTTGTAGATAAACTGTCTCTATTCCCTTCCAAACAATTTATCAGACGTTCAACCACAGACCTATCTGTACGGAGTATACGCATTACATATGCGTTGTACGAAGGGTCATCGGTAGAGTTAGACACACAACACACACCACCCCCAAAAAGCTTCGCCACACAATAAGATTTCAAGTACTGTCGTAGGCTGCTTCGGGGCTTCCGCCACAGAAGAGAGGGGCAGAGAAGAGATGGAAAAACTAAATAACGAGTAAAATAAATTAAATGATAGAATGTTGAAAAAAAAAAAAACTAGTGCGTTTGGTTTTGATCAGTAGGAGGCAAAGATTGGTAGAAGTAGAGGAAAAATAATAATAAAGTACGCTAAAACCTGCAGCTTGCCTTGGCCGCCACCATCTCCGCCAACTAAAACCAAACGCTCAACGCCGAAGAAAAAAATAGACAGGAAAAAAAATCCTCCAGAGCCCCAGATCTTTCCCTTTTTCACCTCTTCATCCCCCCCCCCCCCCCCCCAAAAAAAAAAAAAAACATCATCTTCCAGATCTTGACCGTCTTCGCACTCGATTTTTTTTTTTCGTCAACCTTTTACTACATATCCCACATCGTGAGTAACGACACCCTTCCGTCTTCCTTCCCTCATTTCTCCCCCTCCCCCACCTTTCGACCGACAGCCCGCGAGCTGCGAGACGACCGTTTCGATCCATCAGTGACATCCCCTCCCTCTCGCCCAAGATGCCTCCCCGCCAACGATGTCAAGATTTTTCCAGCGATGACTGTGGTCGTGCTGACCCTTTCTTCTCTCCTGATATAGGCTTGATCGGAAGTTCCAGCTTTTCACAATGGAGTACCCTGCCCCCACTGCTCGCGCCTGCTACACCTGTAAGTTTTTCTTCCGACAACCTCCCCCTCACTTGGCGAAGGGGGGGGGGGGGTTTTTACTCCGATGAAATCAGTTTGCTGACCATGATTGTGTGTTTACCAGGCGGCAACACCGACCACCAGGTACTTTGACACCGACTGCTTGTCTCACATCCGTCGTCCTGCGATCCCCTCTTCTAACATTCATATACTAGGCTCGCGACTGCCCTCAGAAGCCCGCTGCTAAGTGCTACAACTGCGGAGGTAAGCACATCCATCTACTCTGTCTAGATACCCATCGACTCGATTAAGCATACTGACAGTCGTGACAAATAGGACCCGGTCACATGAGTGAGTCCGCACAACCGACATACCCTCCCCCCGCCTCCCCTAACGAGACTGCAATACTAAACCAGTGATAGGCCGTGACTGCCCCGAGCCCCCCAAGGACAACAAGGCCTGCTACAAATGCGGCCAGGCCGGCCACATCTCGCGCGACTGTCCTCTTAGCGGAGGCTCCGGCCAGGCCACCGAGTGCTACAAGGTTTGTGATGCCCCTCTCCCACTTGATTACAGAGTCCACAAGCTCTGGATCAAGCTTGATAGAGAGACAGAGAGGGAGGGAGAGAGAGAGATAGGAAGTGGTGTACTGACATACGTGGGTACAAAAACAGTGCGGCGAGGTCGGTCACATTGCCCGCAACTGCCAGCGCTCCGGATACGCTGGCGGTGCTGGTGGCGGTGCCGGTGGCTATGGTGCCGGTGGCTTCAACGGTGCCTCCGGCAAGACCTGCTACTCGTGCGGTGGCTACGGCCATATGTCCCGTAAGTCGTGATCTCTAGGAAGCTCTTGACTTGAACAGATAGGCTGACAGATTGATCTCATACATAGGCGAGTGCGTCAACGGCATGAAGTGTTATAACTGCGGCGAGTCGGGCCACTACTCGCGCGACTGCCCCAAGGAGTCGTCTGGCGGCGAGAAGATCTGCTACAAGTGCCAGCAGGGCGGACACGTCCAGTCGCAGTGCCCCAACAACTAAGGTTGCCTCTGGAACGACTCAATGGTTGGATCACTCTGTCCTAGGAGAGAAAGTCTGGACGGGAGAGTTGGGCGTGGCAGCTCATGATACCCACGACGATGACACACCATTTCTTTTCTCTGTCAAGTTATCTCATACCTTGACGCTGTTGTGTGCCTTGAAATTTTCCCCCCTGTTTCTTTCTGCGAAACACACAACGAAACACTGTTTATTTTTTCCCCCAACACACACACTCACACTCACACTCACACTCACACACACGCAAGGGTGTCTTTCAAAAAAAAAAGTTTTTACGGCCGCGAATCCCTATTGAAAAAATTGAGGGGTTCTGTTGATTTTGACCTTTTTTTTTTTCCAACTATCATTTGTTCTTCCATTTGATTTCACCCCCCACCCCCCCCGGCATCTTTTCCCCTATAACATCTCAACTATCTTTTCCTGCATCTGCATGTTCGCGAGAGAGGAACAGTCGAACTCTCCTTACACCTGCGGTTAAGATAAGCTACGTTGAGAGATAAAGAGAGAGACGAAGAGAGGGCGAGTGAAATGGATGTGAGAGGCGCAGCAAGGGATTGGGGTGTGGTGTGATGCGGTGTAGCTTGGGTCACAATTTGGTAGTCAGGACGAGATGAATTGCGTTGATACCTGTCATGGGTCAGGATCTAAACACGAACAGAAGACGAGATGTCATGTTTGTGCGTTTTGGTGTGCGTGTATCGAGAGGACGACCTGATGCAGGTCTTCTTCCCCCTCCTCCGCTCACTTTGGAGTGGGTGAGAGCTGAAAGACGACGACTGCACATTGTTCTGGATCTGCTGTTCTCTCTCTCTTATAATTTCACCTCTCTCTTCTATGCTTGAACCTGGAGGAGGAGCAATCATGGATGGAAGGACGAAAGATAGAAGAGAGGGAGGGGGTCAATCGGAGATGCAAAAGGTAAGAAACGGTGAGTTTCCTGTAGTCTTACTATGACGCATTGATTATAGGAGCATGAAGTCCCCCCCTGCCTAATTGTTTTGTCTCCAAACGCCATTGGCCAGTATAGAGTCATGGATTGCAAAGTCTTGATCTTGAGATAAGTTCTCTTGAAGTTGTCATTAATCGTATGCTAAGAATACCCGATACTCTTGTTTTACTCGTAATTGCTGTAATATTCAACGCACGTTATAGACCCTTCCATGCCACTCAGTTGAAAAGCCACGATAATGGCCTAGTAAAGATGGTCAAGATGCTTGTAGCTCTTTGTCAACCTATAAACCTTTCCGCTCGATCGATTTCCTATATTACTCCGTGATGCGCTCGAGATTTTTCAGATAGAAGAGGACTGATGGATATGACCGACGGCATTCTGCAGATTGCTCTGTGCCCGCGGTCCCCAGCTTCCCCTCCCAGCCTGATCGGTGCATCGCCTGCCGCTCTGCGGGCACAGCGGGTGGCATGGAGCTTCGATGCCACTGCAGAGCTGGGACATTGATACTATCAGAGTGAGCTAGTGCTTCAAAGACGCAAGTGTGCATGCAGGGACCATTCCGAGACTTCAGGTCGGTGCACACCCTTGGCGCGTCATCAACTCGGCTGGCGTAGCAGATTGAAGAGGAGAAGAAGAAATTACTGCATCACTGTTTCAATTCCCGAAATTATTTCCGAGGCCCGTTGCGTGTGTTCGGTTCAGACCGAGTTCGGAGGAATTATAACTGCCGTGCTCCGTGGACGCTACAGAAATTACAAAATAATGGGAGCGCATTGGTCCAAACTTTCCCGGGTCACAATTGCTTGCGTGTAACTCGTAGGTTCCTTTTTTTTTTCTTTTTTTTCTTTTCCTTCTTAAACACCGTGGAGATCGTATTACCGAGACCGGGGTGACGGTAATCTACCAATTGTTCTCCGTACATGTGGGCTTAAAAAAAAAGAGCGTCTTGGCGGTGCACCACCATCCCATGTACTCGTACATGTACGGAGTACGCCATCTACCGTCTTGCCGACACCGACCGAGTTCTGCAATGGCAATGAAAATAGTCTGCAGTCTTTGCTCCAGGACACTGTCTAGGAGAAATAAGTACAAGTGGGGTGTTCTGCTGTGCTCAACTGTTCCCTCATCGCCATCCCTCCCTTGATGTACAAAAAGGCAGCCAATAACCTGTCGGACTAAACTACTATCGGCGTCAACTCTTTTTACATCAATGAATTGACTACTACCGGTGGCAGTGCCAATGTTCACCTCTCTACCCTCTCTACAACTTATAGAAAGTACGCTCGGGTTGCTGCTATTGACCACGAGGACGGCTATAGCCACCGAGTGTTTGGTTACCTTTCTTTAAGATCTGTCTAGACTAGTTCCCTTCTCAATAGTACTACTAGGGACTTCTATAGTTTCGTGTATTATCGAATCCTACTTCAAGGTAATCTTTATATATCAGATATATATAGAAAGTAGGATACAATTTACTTACATTTGGCGCAAATCACTGATCTAAATATATATGGTACTCATCACTACTCTAGTTATGAACTGATGCTTTGAGATAATTCGTGATTATAACCCACGTATTCGGGCTCGTTAGAAAGATATAAACTACTACGTTCTTGTCTGATATAGATCCGCTCTGAGCACCTGCATGTCTAGCATAAGGGGGAGGGGCATCAATTCCCGCCGACTACGGAGCGTGCCGGCGCCGTTGCCGACAAATCGGGAGAGTGGACCCACAAATTCAACTACATACGAGTGGACACAGCCACCGGAGCCGAAGATGTTTGATCCTGGTTACATGTATTATTATAGCAAGGTGCACCGTGTAGTATTGAGAATGATGATACGTAAGTGACTTGGGAGAAACTATGTCATCCACCTTCCACTGAAACGTCTTCTCTTGCGGGGTTCTAACATGGTAGTCGTTTCAGTGTCGAGCCGTATTTCATCATCATGGAGAAGCCTCTTCAAGCTACCCCTCAGTTGGCGGCAATGCAACCTCTCATCTCACCAGTTCCAGCTCTAGCCTCGACGGAGAATCTGCGTAAAGAATGATGTTGGCTTCCATGTTCGTCGCATCCACTGGTAGACGCTACCGAAGGACAGGTGGTTCTGTTCGTGCTCACATTCTTCTTCTTGCTGGTCAACTCGGAGCGGCGCATGGCCGTGAGATGTGCTGTCGGCGCCGTCCTCTATCTTGACCATGAGCATCTCAGCCACGCTGGGTGTCCCCTTGTCGTCGATGATGAACAGCATCCACCATCCTGGGATGAGGACCCCAGAGGACTCCGGGAGCTCAGCCTGGAACTCGTACTCGCTGTCCCTGCTGGGCACGACGTCGAGGGGAACGCGGCGCTGGTCCGTATTGACGGTGTGCGTGGTGGAGGAGATGCGGATAAGTGCCGCCTCACGGATCCTGTCCGAGGCGTTGAACTGCAGCACGCTGCCGACCTCAACCTCGTCCGGAATCTCCGAAGTGAATTCCGGACGGTCACGCAGCGAGCCGTCGTGGTTGAGAAGATAGGCGGGAGTGTAGATCTGCGCGTCGTAGTGGTTGGCAGAGCAGTTTCCGCAGAGACCGCCGCCCCCCGTGAGGACCCTCCCGTCAGGGATGAGGATGGACAGGGAGTGGTAGACGCGGATGATGTTGTTCCTCTGCAGAGGGGAGAACCTGTTGGTTCTGGGGTCGTACAGCTCGGGGACGAACTGCACACCTTCCTCGTTGAAGGCCTGTCCGAACGTCTGTCCGCCGACGATGAAGACCGTCCCATCCGGGAGCACTGCAGAGGTGTGGAAGACGCGGGGCACCGTCATCTCACCGTTCTCGCCGGCCCGCTCCACCACGGGCTCATCGCCGAACTCGCCCAGGGTGATGACGTGGGCGTAGCCGTTGGCGTCGGACTTGTCGTAGTCTGGGGAGCCTCCCATGGTGAGGATCTTACCAGCGACGGCGTCAAACATGACGGCGTTTCCGGACATGGAGTCCTCACCGCCCTCGCGCTCACCGGCGGGCAGGACATCGCCCTCACCGTCGACAGAGTACCAGTTCATGGCGAGGCTGGGACCGGCCTGAAAGATGCTCTGGTTCGTCCACCCGAAAAGCCAGCCGTGGTTGTCGGCTCTCCAGGGCCCCTCCATGTCACGAGTGTACATGGGCTCGACCTTGGCTCCGGGGAGCCGTGTCCAGCTCCGCGTAGCAGGATCGTAGACCTCGCCGTCCTTGTCGAAGCTGGAACCCCCAGCCCAGGAGCCTCCGATGACAAAGACGCGGCCGTCCGACAGCGTTGCCGAGGCCTGGTAGCCGCGCTCCATGTTCATGGTGCTGGCTGCCTCCCAGCTGTTCTTCCTGGCATCGAAGAGGCTGGTCTGGGCCGCGTCGTTGCCACCCGTCACTACCATCATGCCGGTGCCGTCGATGGCAATCCCGGGACAGAACATGTCGTGCTGGCTGTCGGTGACGACGCGCTTGGAAACCTGGTTGGTACGGAAATCCCACAGCGCCATGGCCGTCTTCCCCCCCGGGGTGGAGTGAAACTGGTCGTCGTCCCAGGACGACCAGAGCATAATCTGGCCTGAGCCCTCTTGGGCGCCCGCGGCCGGCACGACAGGAAGATCCAAGGTAGGTCCCCAGACGCCCTTGGAGGGGTCTTGGTCGATGCTGTACAGGTTGGCGTAGACGTTGATCTCTGAGATGGTCACAGTCGAGTCACCGGCCGTCTGGGCCACCAGGCGCACGTACCTGGCCTGGGACAGCTCAAAGGCAGACATCCTCATGCGATTGCTGTCGGGCCACATGCCGTACGCGACAGGCTCCCCCCAGTTCTCGGCGTCGCGGCTGAGGAACACCTTGTGCTCGGTGATCAGGCCATCCTGCCCGGTGATGCTGATTTTGGGCAGCACCACGAGGGCACCCACTGAATATGTCTCTTGTAGGTCTATGGTGACCAGGTGCTCGCCCGCCTTCTCGCTGGTCCATGCCGTGGCGTTGGAGCCGTCGATCATGGCATTGCAAGAATCATGGCCGGAAGAGCAGGTCATCTTCCAATCCTCGCGAGTGACGCGTATCCCCTTGTATGGAGGCGACTCGTCCCTGAACTGGGGCTCCCACGAAGGTCTGTCGTAGACGGCATGGCCGGAAACGACGCGCTCGCCGCGCATGGCTTCCTCCAAGTAGGCGTGGTTCGCGCTGGCGAGCCCCAGCAGGGCGGAGTGGACCCACTGGAGCTTCATGTTGTCGAGATGATTCTTAGGTTTGAGAGAGAAAGGAGATGGATGTTATGAAGTGAAGAAACAAGTGATATATCCCGTTCTTCTCTGCGTTGTTAAACAGGGAACATCTTGCGGAATATCAAGAGTCGTGTGACGCCTACATGTACTTTCTTCGCATGAGGAGGAAATGAACCTCGTACGTGTATTTAGACGCACGCCAAGGCGGCACGCCCTTGCCTCGGCGCACCGGGTATCCGAGAAACTCCTTTCTGACACCGTTTTTCATTGTCGTCATGCCGATCTAGGTACCTGATATCACCGATTGTCTACCGACCTGGTGTAGAAAGGCAACGATACGTCATGATACATGAGCTGAACGACAAATGCAGACGAGAATGCCCACTTACAAGAGTCAGTCTCGGCGGAAACAGGTTCGGAACCCCTGATTGACCGTGCATGACCCAACCTCGGGGTTTTCTGTCCGTAATTGGTCTCAATAGTCTTGTGTGAGGCCGAGACAGTATTCGTTTTCTCAAACAGCTGCTTAGAGGAACATCGATCGGGGATCGTCGTCAAAGCTGTCTCCCGTCCCTGCATGGAAATAGTACGTACATACGATGCTTGCCCCGGTTCGACGCCCCGTTCCGTTCCGTCCTTAGTGCGACGCAACGTTGCATAACAAGCGCTGTCTCAGGATGCCGCTCGCCAATGTTCATTTCCACACTGGACATTCTCACTGATGAATCGGATACGCGCCATTGGATATTACGCATCGACGCAGGGACGGCAAGGGGGCGCCAACATGACGTCGATCTTTCGGATCTACAAAGGTTACGATGAATCATGCCAGGCGTAGCCACATCCATCGCTGGGAAACATATTCTTGCAGAGTATTTTGTCCTCCTCGATTCATGTGGAGATTCAGCTCCATATGAAAGACGATCTCTGTAGGTTCTTGCCTCTTCGAGGAACAAGATACGATTTACTACTACATGCGCTCATCTGCAAACTCGTTCCTCTCCAGTTTCCTTATAGTACCCCCATAACGTGAGGATGGCTGAGAAGGAGAGACCCCACTTCCCGCCTCTCTTGTGATTGTCTAGGTCTGGGTCATATTGGGGTGATTATATGAACGGCAGAAACATTTGTACCGTCCTGGACGTGACTGAGGAGATTGTGTTAAATTGTCAGCGAGTCGCTCATCCTGTGCCTTCTCGTGACGATGTCCATTGCCTTTTCTTCAATTATCCACCGAACAGTAAAGAACCATGGCGTCTTCAATCATCAGGAAAGCCAACATTCAAGGTGACATCTGGTCGGTTCCCGTCCCCCTCTGCTCCCGATACGTTCCCTCACGATCGCATGAGAAACATATCTTGCTATTCCTTGCTACTGCTACTGCTAACCTCTGAGCTTTCTTACTAGGCCTGGGCTTCCTAAGAGATTTGAGACATTTCTCTTTTTCAACATCCTGAAGCCCGATGAATTCAAGAAGCAGCTGAAAACACATCTTCCGAAAATCACCACGGCCGAGCATGCATGCCAAATGAAAGATAAAATTGCCGCCGAAAGGGCCAAGAACGGAAAGAAAGCGCCGCTGCTTCCCTTGCCAGGCTTCAATATTGCCTTTTCGTCTACGGGATTGTCTAAGGTAAGCGTAGTCTTGACACCCCCATCCTTACCACACCTTGGGGTCCTTCCAAGGAGAGAATAGAAGACTGACTAGGCCGCCTATAGCTTGGAAAGTATGTCCTGACTGCCGCGGAGCAGGGCGAGGTCAAGAGAGACAGGGTACTGTCCAAGATCTTCCGCGAAAAGCAGCTCCGAGGTGGCCTTTTCGAAAAGGGCATGTACGAAGACCTCACAGGTGAAGGGTGGGATGATCCCGAGGAGATTCGCCGCGGGTACAAGCCTGAAAATGGGCAACGTCTCATTGACGGAGTGCTTCTGGTGACATCTAGTGTCAGAGAAGACATTCTGGAACAGGTTGACAAGCTCAGCAAGGCCTTCCTGGACACCGGCATCGTATCGTTCCCGTTGATCAGGGAGGGTATGGCTCGCGATGGAGTGAACAAGGGGCGTGAACAGTGAGTAGTACGCCATCATGCGTTACGTCTCTTCTTCGCGTCTCCCTTGACTTCCAAACTGGATGCTGACATGTTGGTCTGTTTCTACACGTAGTTTCGGTTTCGTGGATGGGGTAGGTGACATGTCTATGCCCGAATGATGTGGAAAAGCGCTGTTGACTTGTGTGACTGACCAATTCCCGTGAAACGATGCAGATCAGCCAGCCCATCATCAAAGGTCTTGACGACCAGGCGCCTCATGGCAAGGCTCCCGAGGGCAAAGAGCCTAAATCTGTCAACCCAGGGTGATACTGCTACTCTCCTCTTGTCACCCTACACACCTATATGGCTGACAAGGCTTGCAGGTTGATCTTTGTCGGTCACGAGGGCGATCGTATGGGCCAACCGAAATGGGCCAAAGACGGGAGCTTCATGGTCATTCGAGATCTCCAACAACTGGTCCCGGAATTTGACAAGTACGTGCCTAGGATGAGCCCTGTTGACGACGTGCCGAGATGTGGGCGATGTTATATGGATTCCCCTTCTGATTCTAACGTGCAACCGACTTCCAAGATGGCTCGATGACAACGCGCACCGGACGCCCTTCGCCGCGGACCATCCGAAGCCGTCGGAGAAGTTGGCGGCCTACCTGATGGGCCGTTGGCGCAATGGTACGCCCGTCGACGAGAACCCGCATCACGATGACGACCCGACGCTCCACACTTCCAACAAGTTCGACTACGAGCCCCGCGACAAGCATGACAAGTGCCCGTTCGCAGCCCACACACGCAAGATGAGGCCCCGGGCGGACCTGGACCACGACCACGCCGTCATCGTCCGTCGCGGCATCAGCTACGGCGATGAGGTTACGCAGGAGGAAAGAGAGGCCCGGAAGTCGGATATGCAGGACCCGGCCAAGGAAAGAGGCCTGTTGTTTGTGTGCTACAACTCGGATGTGCGGATGGGATTCAATTTCCTGGTAAGTCTCGAATCTTGATACTGCACACACCCCGGACCTTGGACTCTGGCTAACCAGGACAACTCTGTTTCTCAGACTACTCGTGAGTTTTCAAGGGTTTTCATCCCCTACCGTGGACTAATTCTCGTTCTTCTTCTTTCCATCACGATGCAGAATATCTACTGATCATCTTCTCTCTCTCTTACCCAGGCTGGGCAAGCAACCACCATTTCCCCGACCGCAAGCACAAGTTTGTCGGTAACGAGGGGCCAGGCATCGATGCCATTGTAGGCCAGAGACTGGACCACCACCCAGCCCGATCCATTGGCCTTCCGGACGGCAAGGACCCTACGGAGCACCGGATGGAGTTGGATCGCTGGGTCATCCACAGGGGTGGGGAATATTTCTTCAGTCCCTCGATTGAGGCCATGGATACCTATCTCACAGAGGCACCTGACTACCCTGTCAAGGCAAAGTTGTAAGCGGGTATTATCGGCCTCGTAGCATAGCGATGGCGTAGCTATGGGAAGCGTGGGCGAGTGATTGGAGGTGTTGTGCAATCTAGATACATGCATGTGCAGATTAGTCTACATGGAGACACCTTGCGAGATATGACAGTGAAATTACAGCTGTGAACCGATTCGACGTCGAGCTGTCAGTTTTCAAGGCTTTACCTTTTGCAAGATGAACAGTACATCATCTCCGTCATGGTCACCGCCATGACAGCATAATTGTCAAGGATGTTGTGCTTGCGTAGATGAAGTGGTCAAGTCTTGCTCAAATGGTGTCCCCACGTAGTCCGCGAGGAGGCATCCATAAAAGCGGCATTGCTGCAGAGGGGGGCAAGACGTCGAGATTGGAATTGTATGACACATTGGATGAATGGGAGTCTCGTACAGGCCTGGTCTATCAGCCTTCCGGACAGATGTACCGATTTGCATCCCAGACATGTCTTTACATGCCAAGATATGGAACACGAGAGTTTACAGGAGAGAACTACCAGCGTATAGACTGTCTTATCGATATTTTCCTAGATGCCTTTCGGCAGCTACTCCCAACTCTGTACCCTGTACTACTCTCAAGTGGCCCACGCCGGTGTCGGGCTCGAGGATGCCTGGCAAGCGGCGTCTATGACCGTCTGGGATATCTCACCATCGTCAGACTCGAAGCCCGCGATGTCACTGCTCTCATTGTTCAAAAGATTTGTCGACTGTGAACGACTGTAGCGAAAAAGTCGGAAAGTTCGGACAGAACAGTCCTCGTCAACTCGTCGCCCTCGACACCAGGAATGTCTCGATCCCCGACACAGTCTTCCACCACAGTAACATCCCATCCCCTTTCATGACCCTGTCGGGCTGTAGTTGAGATGCAGACGTGGGCCTGGCGACAAGTCAGCCCGAGTTTCCCGTGGCAGGTCCGGGTGAAGATCCGAGAGAAGCAACGGCTTGCGGACTGGTACCGTGTGGTGGGAGCCGTGACATACCATGTACCCAGTCAATACGATCTTATCGCGCTTTGTCGCTTTCAAGATGGCCTCCAAGTCAGTCCCGGTGAAAGAGCCAGGAAAGTTCTTGGTTACCACCGATTCGCCCTCGACAGGCTTGAGCTCGTCGAATTCGGCAGCCAAGTCGGTTCCAGGCGTGAAAATAGGGGCTCCGTCAGGAGCAGCATGGATCACATGGACGACTGGTGCTTTGGCGTCCCGGTATCTCTTGAGAAGCGACGCGTTGGCTGCTCGGGACCGGTCGACGTTGGCGACCCGAAGACGGCCAGCGGCGTATTCGTTCTGGGCGTCGACGATGATGAGAACACTGTCGCTCGTCGATGCGCCTGAAGGCTCGATGCCGAGCATGGAACGAACAGTCACGACGGAAGGCATGGCGGAAACGATTTCTCTTCCAAGATTTGCCGATCGGAGGGAAGCCCGAGACGGATGGATGTACGGGGAAGCTGGGAGCTATACGTATTACTCGATGTGCTGGTGCAGCTTATTTATAATTGGGCCGTATAGACCGACAGTCGGAGCTCCGGCTGATTTGTAAGGAAAGAGGGATTCCGTCCAGAATTGACGCACTGATGGAGCTCTCATTGATCTGCAATTATGGGGGAGCCTGTACCGATCGACGGGTGTGAGCAGTCGAGAACACCAGCCGTTTCGAGGTTGTACGTAACGACTACTACTCTACCTTTATGGGAGTATCTATGTCAATAGCCGATACGTTGAGAAAACCCCCCATTCTCATGTGCCGACCGGCTGCTCTATATGTTCTCGTCAGCGAACGTGACGGTCTGCTTCTCGAGGAACCCAGCCATCTGACCGCACTCTTAGCTGCAGACCCGACCTGGGATGCCCACCGACAGCTTGAACCTCATACAGATCAGCATCAGCGGGACGTAGTATGGCTTGTACCGTGAGCAATTCGCAGACACTGGCCAGCAGGCAGGCAACTTTGGTCTGCTCTGGTCAGCATTTCTCGACATCGCTCAGATCTATGCGACATTGTGGCAGCCCGCATTATCGATGACTAAGCAGTCAGAGGTTGCCGCCACACTCACATCTATAGATAACCTCATAGATCTCCTTTCCTTTTGAACAATTAAGCAAGCACTAAGACACGCACTCATAGACCCTGCATGTGCCAGTAGGCAGAGACCACTATATCCACGTCTACGGGTTATCGTGTGCTGTCGCTGGCAGGAAGCACGGCATGCGTCCTTCATGGTTGGAGGATTTGGCGCCCATGTACAGATGTCGCTACCAAAAGTAATTGCCTGACCCCCTGTAAGGAAAAAGAAAAGGCTAAACTAGAGAAGGAGAATTAGACCGTATAAATTTTATAGCTTGAATCCCCTACCCTCCTCGTATTCATTCCCTCCTTTAAGCGTAATGATTTCTTATATATTGTTACGGCCCGTTATGCGACCTTCACGTATACCCTACAATTTTCTTACTCATCACTAGCATTTCCACTTATAACGCGATCATTCGGTTTTAAGTAACGATTATTACGATCGCCTTAAGAATGTTAGCGATCGCCTAGTATATAGTTAACCTTATTTCTATAGCCTAGTCACTCTTTACCTAGCTATTAATATAATGGTTAACGCTTCTTTTAGAACCCTAGTTCCTTCTATAATTAGCACCTATAACTATAACTGCCTTATTGCTTAGTTAGACGCCCTAACGGCCTCGCTAATATAAAACCGACACTTCTCTAACTACCCTATAGCACAGAGTCGTACCAACCGTCACAATAATGCGTATAATATCTTATAGTATTAATTCGGTAGAGGAGTTAGAGTATATAGAAAAGGAGGAGGTAGAACGTAAAGTATAGCATACTACTAAAGAGCATCCTTCCTCGAGTGGGGGTCTTTTCTTAAATATCGAGATTAATCCGCTCTTACTATCTAATAATATAGCCTTAACTCTATTATTTTTTACTAATATAGGTATTACTAAAGAGTTATCTTTATCCGCTAGGGTCTTAAATAACTTTAGTAAAACTATTATACGAGGCGAAGGTAGTTTTTAAGGTATTTTATAGGTTCTTATATACTTTTAGTATCGTTATATCCTTTCTATTTAACTAAATATTATATTTCTCTTTATAGTTCTCGTTTATTAATAATTTATTTAGGTTTATATTCTTCTTTATATACCTCGATATATAGTTATTATTTTACGTTTTATAGTATAGGTTCTAATAATAAAATATAAAAAATAGGGTATATCCTTATTATAGATAGTAGTAATAGTTTATAGTTAGTATCTAAAAGTACTTCTTTAATCTTAAATAGTCTAATTTTCTTAAAGTTAAGTTTTATACTTAGTTAAGTTATCTAAAAATTTCGTTAAAGTAGGTAGACTATATCCCCTCTCTTAAAGATTAGTCCCTTTAATCTTTTTTAGTTATAGTATTTTACTATTCTTTAGCGAATAAAGGAAAGTTCTTTCTATATTTAAGAGTATAGTAATTATAACTAATTAGCGTTAAGTATTGCCCTTTCTATAAGTAGTCCTAGTAGTATCGTTTAGTATACCTCTAGGTTAAATCTATAGTTAGCGTATATTAGCGTAACCTAAGTTAATTCTATAATCGAGCTATTATATATAAGTTATATAGTAGGTAGCTTTATTATCTAGTTATCTTATTTATAGTTAATATAGTATTATAGGTATTATTCTAGAGTTTAGTTAAGTCGTTCTATCTAACTATTAATTTAAGGGTAGTATACTATACTAAGTTTATATTTTAAGCTAAGTTATACTATAAGGGCTTACTAAAACTTTAAAGTAAATATTATTCCTTTATTAGATATAATTTCTTTAGGTAATCTATAGTTACTAATAATAATTTTAAGGAAGATATATATTAGTTCTTTTATATCTAATGCTTCCTTATATAGTATAAAGTACCTATATTTTATAAGTCTATCGGTAATAATAAAAATACTATTATATACTATATTTATTATTAGTTCTTTTAAAGCTAGTAGCTTTATAATATAATCGAATGCGATTAATTCCTATAGCTATAGCGGTACTAGCAATAGTCTTAGTTCTCTATATAGTTTATATCGTGCTAACTTACTTTATATATATATTTCGTAGTTCTTAATAATGCTCTCTATATCCTTCTTAATTCCTAGATAGTTAAATATTCGTTATATCTAGTTAAGGGTTTTCTATATTCCTTAATATCCTAATATTAGATAACTATATATATTATTAATAGTTTTTTTTTATAGTTCTAGCGGTAGCTATATTTATTCGTTCTAGATTAGTAGTTACTCTAGTTTAATATCCTTTAGATATTTATCTAGTTTCTATTCTTTCGTAATATTATATATTTCTTTAGTAATTAAATCGTTAGGTTTAATAGTAAACGTTAACGTATTTAGTATATAATATTTAAGATTCCTATTATTATTAGTATAGAGGATTTATCTTAATACTCTTAGTTCTTTAGTATTATAATTAGGTCTCTTACTAAAGGCGTCGGCCCTTCTATTTTCTAATCTTTTTTAGTAAATAATCTTAAAGTTAAAGTCGGCTAGATACTTAGCGTATCTTAACTATCGCTTACTAAGTTCTTACGTAGTCGTAAAGTAGGCGATATTCTTATAATCTATATATACCTTAACTTTATGCTTACTTCTAGTTAAATAGTGCTTAAATTCCTTAAATAAATTAATAATAATAAGGAATTCTTTATTATATATTAGGTAATTAAGTTCTACGCTATAAAGTTTCTTTAAATAGAAGGCAATTAGTCGTAATTATCCTTCCTTATCTCTTTATACGATTTATACTCTAAGGGTAAAATCTAAAGCGTTAGTCTCTAGCTCGATTTACCATTTAGGGTCGAATATAGATAGCATAACCTTAAAGGTAATGATTTTCTTAAGCTTATTAAAAGCTTCTTAATAATTATTTATCTATTTAAACTCTTATATTCCTTTAGTAATATCTATAAGGGGTATTGCGATCTTCTTAAAATTTCTAACGAATTATTAATAGTAATTAGCGAATCTAGTAAAGGACTAAATATCCTTAACGTTCCTTAATACTAGTTAGTTGCGTACTAACTCGATTTTCTTAAGGTCTATTTTAATTTCGTTATATATAATAATATATCTTAAGAACTCTACTTCCTAGATATAGAAATAATATTTTTCTA